GTGGTGGATGATGTATCATGTATTGTACCATCCTTGCATCCCTACTTGATCATGATGGATGATCTTTCTGTTGTATTTTTTAATTTGGTTTGCTAATATTTTGTTGAGTATTTTTACATCTATGTTCATCAGGGATATTGGTCTGTAATTTTCTTTTTTTGTGGTGTCTTTGCCTGGTTTCGGTATTAGAGTGATGCCGGCCTCATACAATGAGTTTGGAGTTCCCTCCTCTTCTTCTTTTTGGAAAACTTTAAGGAGGATGGGTATTAGGTCTTCACTAAATGTTTGATAAAACTCAGTGGTGAGGCCATCTGGTCCAGGCGTTTTGTTCTTAGGTAATTTTTTGATTACCAGTTCAATTTCATTGCCAGTAATTGGTCTGTTCAGATTTTCTGCTGCTTCCTGGGTCACCCTTGGAAGGTTGTATTTTTCTAGAAAGTTGTCCATTTCTTCTAGGTTATCCAATTTGTTAGCATATAATTTTTAATAGTATTCTTTAATAATCCTTTGTATTTCTGTGGTGTCCATAGTGATTTTTCCTTTCTCATCTCTGATTCTGTTTATGTGTGTTGACTCTCTTTTTCTCTTGATAAGTCTGACTAGGGGTTTATCTATTTTGTTAATTTTCTTGAAGAACCAGCTCCTGCTTTCATTGATTCTTTCTATTGTTTTATTCTTCTCAATTTTATTTATTTCTACTCTGATCTTTATTATGTCCCTCCTTCTATGACTTTGGGCCTCATTTGCTCTTTTTTTTTCTAGTTTCATTAATTGTGAGTTTAGACTGTTCATTTGGGATTGTTCTTCTTTCCTGAGGTAGGCCTGTATTGCAATATAGTTCCCTCTTAGCATTGCCTTCACTGAGTTCCACAGATTTTGCAGTGTTGAGTTATTGTTTTCATTTGTCTCCATATGTTGCTTGATCTCTGCTTTTATTTGGTCATCAATCTACTGATTATTTAGGAGCATGTTGTAAGCCTCCATCTGTTTGTGGGCTTTTTTGTTTTCTTTGTGTCATTTCTAGTTTCATACTTCTGTGGTCTGAGAAGCTGGTTGGTACAATTTCAATATTTCTGAATTTACTGAGGCTCTTTTTGTGGTCTATATATGATCTATTCTGCAGAATGTTCCATGTGCATTTGAGAAGAATGTATATCCTGCTGCTTTTGGGTAGAGTGTTATGTAGATGTCTATTAGGTCCATCTGTTCCAATGTTTGTTCAGTGCCTCTGTCTCCTTAACTTATTTTCTGTCTGGTCGATCTATCCTTTGGAGTGAGTGGAGTGTTGAAGTCTCCTAAAATGAATGCATTGCATTCTAGTTCCCCCTTGAATTCTGTTAGTATTTGTTTCACATATGTAGGTGCTCCTATTTGGGGTACATAGATATTTATAATGGTTATATCTTCCTGTGGGACTGACCCCTTTATTATGATATAATTTCCTTCTTGGTCTTTTGTTACTTTCTTTGTTTTGAAGACTATTCTGTCTGATAGAAGTACTGCACCTCCTGCTTTTTTCCCCCTATTAGTTGCATGAAATATCTTTGCCCATCCCTTCATTTTTAGTCTGTGTATGTCTTTGGGTTTGAAGTGAGTCTCTTGTAGTCAGCATCTAGACAGGTCTTGTTTTTTAATCCATTCAGTGACTTTGTCTTTTGATTGATGCATTCAGACCATTTACAGTTAGGATGATTATCAATAGATATGTACTTATTGCGATTGCAGGCTTTAGATTAGTGGTACCAAATGTTCAAGGGTAGCTTCTTCACTATCTAACAGTCTAACTTAACTCACTTAGGAAGCTATTTCAAACACAATATAAAGGTTCTTTGGGTTTTCTTCCTCCCTCCTTTTTCTTCCTCCTCCATTCTTTATATATTAGGTTTCATATTCTGTACTCTTTGTGTATCCCTTCACTGACTTTTTGGGTAGTTGTTATAATTTTGCAACTGCTTAGTAATTAATTGGTCTACTTCCTTTATTGTGGTTTTATTTTCTCTGTTTAGCCTTAGGAACACTTCCATCTCTGGTAGTCCCTCCAAAATACACTGCAGAGATGGTTTGTGGAAGGTAAATTCTCTCAACTATTGCTTATCGGGATATTGTTTAATCCCTCCTTCAAATGTAAATGATAGTCTTGCTAGATCCAATATTCTTGGTTCAAGGCCCTTCTGTTTCACTGCATTAAATATATCACACCACTCCCTTCTGGCCTGTAGGGTTTCTGTTGAGAAGTCTGGTGATAGCCTGATGGGTTTTCCTTTATATGTGATCTTTTTTTTCTCTCTGGCTGCTTTTAATACTGTGTCCTTATCTTTGATCTTTTCCATTTTAATTAGTATATGTTTAGCTTTTGTCTTCCTTGGGTCTCTTGTGTTGGGAGATCTGTGTACCTCCATTACCTGAGAGACTATCTCCTTCCCCAGATTGGGGAAGTTTTCAGCAATTACCTCCTCAAAGACACTTTCTGTCCCTTTTTCTCTCTCTTCTTCTTCTGGTACCCGTATAATGCAAATATTGTTCCATTTGAATTGGTCACAAAGTTTTCTTAATATTCTTTCACTAGAGATCCTTTTTTCTCTCTGCTTCAGCTTCTTTGTATTCCTGTCCTCTGGTTTCTCTTTTATTTACTGTCTCCTCTACTTCATCTAATCTGCTTTTAAATCCCTCCATTGTATGTTTCATTTTGAATACTGTAGTTTTCAAAGTTTCTGTCTCTTTCTTGAATTCCTCCCTGAGGTCTTGAATATTTTCTTGTAACTGCATGAGCATGTTTATGATTTTTATTTTGAAATATTTTTCAGGGAGATTGATGAGTTCAGTTTCACTTAGCCCTCTTTCTGGTGTTTGTGGGATTTTGTTTGTACCAGGTTCTTTTGCCATTTCATATTTGTAGTAATAACTTGTTGTTAAGTGGCACCCTCTAGTGCCCAGAAGCTCTACTTTCTGGAACTTCTCAGTCCCTGTAACGATGGCGGGGGTCACAGGTGAAGAGCGCTGGTGCCTGCTGGGAGGAGAGAGCTCTTTCCTGCTTCCCAGTCATAGTACCTGCCTCCACTGTCAGGGCCAGTGAGCTGCATGCCCAGTGAGGAGCCTCTTGGATACCCCCCTGTATCTGTTATAGGCAGGGCTGCCCTCTGGCTGGCCTGGAGCAATGGTGTGGGGGTCACAAGTGAGCTGCACCAGTGCCTGCTGGGAGGAAAGAGCTTTTTCCTGCTTCCAGGCTGCAGTGCCTGCCTCCACTGCCAGAGCCAGTGGGCTGAGTGTACAGGGAGGAGCCTTTATGCTATGTCCTTGTAGGTGCTATAGGTGGGGCCGCCCTCTAGCTGTCCTGGCACAATGGCTAGGGCAGCAGGTTTGTGAGCTGGTGCTGGCCAGGAGGAAGGAGTGGCAGGCTGTGTATTGCGGTGGGGGGCCTTGGAGCTGTGTTGCTACCCAGGGGGATGGAGTGCCTGAAGCTCCTGAAAGTTCCCAACCTGCAGCGCTGAGTGCACTGGGACAATTTTGTCCACCTGTCCTTTCTCCTGAGCAGCAAGCTCTGTGCAATCCTTGTCCCTTTATCAGCCCTCTCGCTGTTGGGAAATCTCTCAGAGTGCCTGCCTTTCTTTTGTCCCAGAGTGGCCAGTGTGGGTACCTGTTCCCCACAAGCGGCTGAAATCTCAGTCTCTCCAAGTATTCTGCCTGTCTTAGCTTTCCAACCCCACTAATCTCCAGAGCACCATGCAATGTAGGTTCATGTTCCCAGAGCAGATCTCCAGGGCTGGGTGTTCGTCAGTCCTAGGCCTCCACCCACTCCCTGCTCCTCCATCTCTCTTCCTTCTGCCAGTGAGCTGGGGTGGAGGAAGGGTTGAGTGCCACTGGATAGGGGCTTTGGTACTTTACCCTTTTCCGTGAGGTCTGCTCTTTTACCCAGATGTAGGCAGTCTGACACAGCCTTCTTTCCTGTTGTTCTTTCAGGATTAGTTGTATTAGCTATATTTTCATATTATATGTGGTTTTGGGAGGAGGTTTCTGTCTCATCTCTTACACCACCATCTTTAAGCCAGTCCTCTGTCACTCACCTTTAAAAGGAAGGAAGTCCTATCCCATGTCAGCTTGAATCAGCCTTGAGGACATCATGCTAAATGAAACAGCCAGTGACAAAAAAGCAAGGGGTTTAGCGGGGACAGAGTTTCAGCTGGGGAAGATGAGAAAGTTCTGGAGATGGTGGGGATGGCAGCACAGCAGAGCGAATGTGCTTTGTAGCACTGACCTGTGCACTTAAGATGGTTAAGGTGGTAAATTTTATGTGTATTTGGCCACAATAAAAAGGTTACAGAGGCAGGCAGGTTCTCCGGGGGAGGCCTGCCCAGGTGGAGTTTCTGTCTGGGCCATGGGGCATTCACCAGGCCAGACCCAGGGAGGCAGAGGTGCCGGCTAAGGCCAGTGGTGCCCTTGTTTTAGGTGCACTGAGTTCGCACTGTCTGCTCCCCCCATGTCACCCTGTTGGCCACCACGTCATCTGGCTTTACTGACTGTTCTGCCCCAGCTGCCAGCCCAGTGCCCCCCCCACAAGGCCCCATCATCTCCCCCAGGAAGGCACACATCCTTGGACCATGGGGTCCCACGTTGTGTTTCATGGCATTAGCCCTGTTGTCAGCCTCCCACAAGTGCCGATGTGGGGCTTTCCCTCCACTCTTCTTTTCCCCCTCAGCTCCTCCCCTTCCTGCCCGATAGTCCCAGCCTCGTCTCCCTTGCTCCTTCTCTGGGGTGATGGGAGGTCGTAGCTCCACGCTCTGGGAGGGAAGATGGGGAGTGATCAGGATCTTTGAGGGGGGTTAGCACATTATCAGCACCTCCAACCTGTTTCACCATCCACAGCCCTCGGCTGTGGCTGGCGTTCATGGGGGGCTCCAGAAGGGGCAGCAATATGCATATAGACCCATGTGCACCCAGGCTGAGGCCCGATGGGCACCTGAGGGCCCCTCCCATTAACCACGTATGCTCCTGTTCCTTCCTAGGACCTGAGCTCCTTTGCCATGCCGCTCCTGGATGGAGACCTGGAGAGTTCGGAAAAGCATTCTTCTCGTAAGGTAAGGCCATTTTCCTCCCAGCTTCTCACAGCTCATCTGAGGGGAGAACCCAAGACCACGTCTGTGCGTGCCCCCACCTGTGTGCCCACCTGCTCACTCCCCTTCCGTCTGTGCTCCCACCCGTGCTGCCACCTGCTCACCCACTGTGTTCATAACCCCCTCCCATCTGCTCCCCACCTGTGCAGCTGGCTGCAGCTTGCCGTGCCCCTCGCAGCTGCCAGGCTGCCCAGTTGGGGAGCCTCCTGGGCCTGGTCCTTCTCTTCTCCCCACTGTGGCTCGCCGTGCTCACTGGGCTGCCCCGGTGGGCTGCAGCCACAGGAGGCCGTCAGTGAGCCAGGCGCCAGGCACTCACTAGCAGAGAGGCTCAAAGTGTTGGCACTGGCTTCCAGCGGGGCTCCGTCACACACGAAGGCATATCTTCTGTCCTGTCCCCTCCCCTGCCACCCATTTTGCCCACCTTGCCATTCCAGATGCCCCCCTCCCCTTGGGCCTCCTGCCACTTTTCCTTCCTCTTCAGCCCACCACCTCCCTCCCTGCTGGCCGGTTTTCCATCATCAGGAGCCCAGTGTCTCACCAAGGCTGGGGGCTGTGCAGGGTCAGGCAGGCAGGAGAGTATATCCCGTGAGGACGGGGGCGGCCATGGCAAGAGAGGGGGCCCAAGGCAGCCTCAGGGAGCTGGGTGGCAAGGCGGACGGGGCGGGAGGTGGCCTCAGGAAGGGGCCAAGCCCTTGGGGAGCTGTGAGCAGCCTCTGAGCAGAGATGCAGAGCCAGGCTGCGCTGTGGCTCTTGGTGCTGCCCTCCCGGGTTTGGGGTGGCAGTTCCAGGGCTGCAAGAAGGCTTGCTCATTCTCCAGCCCTTCTGAATCGCACACAGTTGAGTCGACAATCGGTTTAGGCCTATGGGGCTCAGTTGGCCTCGGCTCTCTGCCCCAAACGAGCCGCCTGTTAGCCGTTACTGTGGCCCAGCCTGAGACAAGTCCCCGAGGATGTCCTTAGGCGTCACCTGCAGGGTGTTCCAATAGGACAGGAAGGAGCCCAGCGGGGTGAGTCGGAGACTCAGCCTGCCGACAGGCAGCCATGGCTGGTGGGCCCAGGGCTGGTCATCCTCCTTGGAGGCTAGAGGCTTCGAAGGATTTGATCCCATGAAGCCCTTTCTTCAAGTGAAAGCTAAGAAGGAATTGTGAATGCGAGGCAGGTATACAGACTTTGCCTCTCCCAGCCCCACCCAGCCCCCTTTGGTGGCTAAGCAGTGGGATCCCGGGTAACGTCATTGTCACGAATGGACTGTTTCCAGGTGGAAAGGAGCACAGGGGTTATTGCGTCCTCACTGTCTCTGTCTCCTCTACGCTGTGGGCCATCGGGAACGGCGGAGTCCAGGACGCGGGCCTCGCCTTCCTGTTGACCCGCCTGGGCTCCCGAGAAGGCAGCACAGTGTTCCAGATAGCCTGACAAACTGGTGCCCAGCAAGAGACACTGCCGGAGGCAGAGGGACCTGCTGCCCAGTTAACTGGGGGGGCATTGTGGCCTCTGGACGCAGCCCACAGACAGGGCCTCGGGTGAAAGCCGTGCCAGGCGGAAGTGGAGGAGTGGGCGGCATTCTTGGGACCCGCCGAGCTTGTTGCCCGTGGCCTTCCCTTGGCCTCCCCACTCCAACGCCAAGCCCCTCCCCAGACCAAGACCCTGGCAGCTCCTTTGCATTAGACTCCAGTAACCTCGAGGCACACGGAGCTGAGGCCAGCCTTTGTGAGAGGCAGAGTCAAGCCATTACCACAAGAATCAATTCCAAGCTGCCCTGGAGGGGCCACCCCTTCCCCTATGCCGTCCCTACGTTTTGGTGATCTTGTTCACACTGAACACCATGTGACAGAGAGCGCGGTTTGGGCTGTGTGGCACTGGGCTCTCTCTGATGACGCGGTGGGTGGATGAGAGGTGCAGCTGGACTCCTGGGGAGACAAGAGGAGGGAACAACGTAGCACTGGGAGGCCCCGAGAGCTCTGGGCTCTATGTGCAGTGCAACGCAAGAGGCCACTGCACTGGGCCTGGCACATGGGCTGCAGCTGAGCTCCTTGCAGTGTTTGTTCTCAGTCACTCGGGGCCCGGCCTGGTGTTCCTGAAATCCGCGGATACAGGGCATGCCAGGCCTCCTCACCTTATCCCTGCCTCTAGTGCCCCTTCCACTGAGGTGGCAGCTCATTGTCCTGTAGCCCATCTCTGTGCAGGAGCTTCTGGCCCCCTGCCTCTGCACAACCTGGTATACAGCTCCCAAGCTGTTGTTCCAATGCTCTGGAGGAAGGTCAGTGCCAGGGTCATTCACACCACTGTCAGCTGGGGTCAGCTGCACGCCTAGTGTCCAGGGGGAGTCTGGAATGTCTGCAGCTAAGATCTGCACCCCAGGCAGCCTGGCAGACGTGCGTGTGCCAGCCACCCATCAGCTCCTGCAGAGCCAGGCAGCCCTTGGGAGTCTCTGGGCCCTTTTGTTCATGAGAACCCCGGGACTCGTCCAGTTACATTCACCAAAGCGTTGTTTTCTGGTGGCTTGCTGAAAGGTGTGAGGTGAGGCCCTGTTCCTGGCAGCTCCGCATGGCAACTGTTACCTGTGTCACCCCCGCCACCCTGCAGGGAGCAGAGTAGCTGTGCACAGCCACCTCATTTCTCACTGCCAGCCAGCGCAACTAGGCCCTGTTCCCCGGGGAAAAGGCTGGGCAGGGCTGTGTCCATCGTTGTTTGGCCATTTTTGAGAAAGGTTTGCTTTTGGGGGCTCCCCGCTCAGGCTTGATCGCTGAGGCCTGACTCTGGTGGCCTGGGGTACTGAGTGCCGAGCAGGGTCCCAGACAGGAGGCCCTCCCTTGCCCATCACATAAGGTTCAGACCAGCACCCATGGCCATTGTGATTGGTTTCCCAGTGGCGTCTGGATCAACTTTCCCCGAGCGCGCTCGTGGCCTGGGTGAGTGGCTCTGTGTGCTTCCCTTCCCCGTGGACCATCCAGAGCCCATCAGCATCCAGGCCCTGCCTGACTGGGGCCCCAGGATGTGCCGTGTCATGTCACCGCCTGCTTCCTTCTCGCGGCAGCTGCGTCTCCTGGGCCCTGGCCGCCCTCCACCCTGCCCCCTCCGCACACCCGCGTGCTGACATTTGCCCAGCCGTGCCCTGCGTCTGCAGAGCTCATGTAAACATGATTCGCTGCCTTTGCCCTAGACTTGACTTTCACTCCTCTTCAACGTCCCACCTTCCAGGTGGCCCCCACCCCAGCCATTCGCTGCTCTGGGGAGGGACGTGATTGAGTGTCACAGAAGGTGGTGCCTGAGGACAGCGTCTTTAAGGAGCCAAAGCCCAGTTCAGGGGCGCCCCCCGGTGGTGGAAGAGTGCACAGGGGCCCTGGGTCGGGCAGGCACCGCGGGCGGACGGAGGCCAGAGCGGCCGCAGAAGCTGCCTCCCTGGGTGTGTCTCTGACGTTCCTTCTCAGCACACTCGTGGCCACCAGCCGTGTGGCATCCCGGGGTCTCAGCCTGCTCGTGACCGCCCGCCAGGCTTCATCTTTGCCCCATGTGTCCCGTGAACAAGTCACTTTGGTTCCTGCCATGGAACTGGGTAGGCCCTGGGGTCCTTCGGCTCTGGGGTTGCAGGTTTACCATGGAGACCTGCAGAGTATAACCCCATATGTCAGGGCCTGCGCGACGTCCATTCAGACAGCCCCGCGGGGCGGGGACAGCTTCCACTTAAAGGTGAGGAGACTGAGGCCTGGGCAGACAAAGGTTTTCGCCATGTTGGCTTTCCCCCTGCCCCCGCCAGCAGACCCACTCGTTCCAGTGCCCATCAGCTCGCGGGTCACCGGGCAGAGCCCCAGGCCCTCTGTGCTTCAGGTCATGAGATGTTTCACCTTTCACGAGGGGCGAGAGAACATTATTCCTGTGTAGTCAGGCCTCAAGGACAAATGTGAGGTCTGGAGAAGTAAAGGCCAGGACACAGACCCACAAATGGGATAGCGAGGGACAGAGCCGCAGTTCAGACCATCTCCACCTCCCTTCCCGTCTGCCCCTCTGCCCCAGGAAACCCCTTCTAGAGAGCTGGGCGGAGGCTGTGGGCCTCTGGGTGGAGCTGACCGGGCTGCTGGGTGGCCACCTCTGTTTATAGTGTACCTTAGGGCTGCTTCCTGCAGGGAGCCGTGGAGGAGCAGCCTGGTGACAAGGACATTGGGAGGGACAGGTGCGAGGAAGGCAGGTCTGGTATAGGGCCGAGTCCAAGCACGCGAGCTCTGAGTGGCCTCACGCGCTGGTGTGTCTCTCCGCAGGTGGACAGCCCCTTCAGTTCGGGCAGCCCCTCCAGAGGGTTCTTCTCCAGAGGCCCCCAGCACCGGCCCTCCAGCCCCGTGTCTGCTCCCGGGAGGCCCAAGACCAGCCCTGGCTCTCCCAAAACCGCGTTCCCATTCTCCTCCCAGGAGTCCCCCCCGCGCTCCCCACGCCGCATGAGCTTCAGCGGGATCTTCCGCTCCTCCTCCAAAGAGTCTTCCCCCAACTCCAACCCGTCTACCTCGCCGGGGGGCATCAGGTTCTTCTCCCGCTCCAGAAAAAGTAAGGCACTGATGCTCTTGTTTCAGGTGGGTGCCGGGCTGCTGGGGACCTTCCCATTGCCACCTGGCTGCATTGCCACCTCCAGGGGCACCAAAGCTGGATGGTGGCTGTAGTGACTTGGTGCTGAGTACATACGTCCATGTCTGTCCCTGAGAACAAACCTCTGTCCAGAGCCCCATCGTTTTCACGTGTCCCTTCCCATCCGGACCCATCCGGTGTGGCCCGGCCCATTGGGTGAGCTGTAAACAGGCCGACACTCACAGTATGACTTCTAAGGACAGCGTGAAACACCGGCCTGCAGCCTTCCCTGAAAAACAGCCGCGGTGTGAAACTAAGGTTTGGCCCATGCCTGGGCCAAGGGCCCAGACCTGGCCTCGGCACCCACCATGCGGCCCCAGAGCCTGCGGCTTGGTAGCTGGGGATGTGAGTGGCCCTGTGTCTGGCCCTGGGCAGCTGGAGTTGATTTGCTGGAGAAACAGGAGGTGTGTGTTGAGGTGAGAGTTTGTTAGGTTCACGAGCATTTGTGATCTAAGGATCGAATATTCTCAGCTGGGCGCTGCAGGCCAAAGTCTCAGATACACAAGGCAAACTGTAAAGCGGATGAAATTTCTTTTCTCCTTTCCTAGGTCTTGTTTCCTACTTTTCCTGGTTCTTTCTGACCGCGCAGACAGTTTGTATTCAGGTGGACAGTGATTGGGAACACAGACCTGCCCTCGGGCACTGGAGGTCTTGGGCAGCCGCCTTTTCTGGGCTGCACTTACATTCAAGGCCCGCGGGGTGAACAGTGTTTGACCTGCCAGGCAGTTTCCATCTCTGTGGCTTACAGGGGAGGTCTGGGGGCTCTCTTCCTTTTTTCCTTTGCTTGTTTTGGTGTTGTGGTGTATTGTGGCTGTTCTGTACCATGCCTGAACCTAAGTGTAAATGCACAAAGGGCACATGACAAAGGGGTCCCCCAGCAGACTAATGGGTGACATGCAGTTGGGAACTGCCCGTAGGAAGCCAGGTGGGGCAGTGTGGCCTGGCACCAGTGTCCCAAGGCCCTGGAGAGCATCCACAGAGGCATTCTGAAGTTCTTGAATACTCCATATGCACCCCCTATAAGTGGGGGGGCACGTCAGAGCAGACCTACATCAGGGTGACCAATTTCTTCAAAGGTGGCATCATGCCTGTGTTGGTCACAACAGAACTAGGCTGTATGTGTCTCCTGGGGCTGCCGTAACCAAGTGCCCCAAACTGGGTGGCCTGAACAACTGAAATGGTCTCAGAGTTCCAAAGGCCAGAAATCCAAAATCAAGATGCCAGTGGGGCTGTGCTGTCTCTGACAGGTCTAGGGACGAATCTGTTCCATGCCAGCAATTCTTGCCATCCCTTGGCTTGTAGAAGTGACACACACCAGTCTCTGCCTCCCCATCACATGGCATCTCCCCTCCTGTGTCTGTCTCTCTCCTCCCCTCACGAGGACACCATCATGTTGGGCTAAGGGTCTACCTACTCTGATGTGATCTCACTTAACTTACTTAATTACATCTGTGATGACCCCATTCCTTCGGAGGTGCCTGGAGAGACATGGATTCTGGGGAGACATTAGCCAGCCCTGTACACCGGTGACGCAGGGAAAGCTAATGCCCACAATTCATGCCGCTGGCTGGGGACATAAAGGGCTTGTCAGGGGAGGGCGGTCAGCCTGCTGGGACCGGAGTCATGTCCGAAGGCAGCCGAGGCCTGGGGTCTGGGAGGGCCTGCAGGTGGGTGCTAGGTAGTAAAAATGTTGCCCGTGAACCAAGCCCTGGTCCTCGGCTTTCCCCAGATGGAAGCCAAACCTGCCAGCCCTGGAGCTGATGGAATGTGAAGGTGCAGCTCTGTATGCATGGGCAAGGGAGGGTTGTGTCCTGCTTCACTGAGGGGTCAGCGGCCTCCTTGCCACTGGGCTCTTCAGGTGTGCCTGGCACAGGCTCGTTTCAGGGGGATAAAATCTACTTACTGCTTTTCTTCATGATTGGACCTCTTCCTAGATCCAAGGACCCAGATGGTATGTTGCTCCCTGCTGTCCCAGAACTGACTTCACGAGCTGGGGCTTGAGAGTAATACCATGGGCCTGTATGGAGGGGCTTTATAAGAAACAGCCGTGAACCACACTGTGCCCACTGGAAGGATGTCACGGATACATTGTTCATTATAAGGCCCCTGGGAGAAATTTCCTGTCTGGTCTTGGTACCAAGAACAGCTGTACTTCTGAGCAAGCTGGGTTGTTTCTGTCTGTAACGGACACTAATCGGGTAATAGCCAGCTTTCCCTGTCTGCACCGCCTGCTAGAATTCCTAGATCCAGTTTGTACGAAGGGCATTTAGGAGCTGTTTCTAGCCTCTTTTCTGAATCCATTTCTGGTCCCCATCCTTCCACTTTTATACCACTCTTAAAACAGGCAAGACAATTTATTGGGAGGATTTGGGGTATTGATGGCTTCAAGAAGAGTGAAATGCCCAGGACTCAGGAGAGGAAGGAATCAGGCTGCTCTGAGGATGCTAGCAGCAAGAATTCATGGATCTTTCCATGAGATCCAGAGAATCTCAGTCTTTGTGTCTGTCTGCTTGCCTTTCTGAACTCTTCATTATAGGCTATCTGGTTAGTGTAGTTAGGCTCTCTGGACAGTTACATACTGCAGCGAAAGAATGACCAAGAACCCAGCCCAGCCTAGGGGCAGGACCCCCAGAGAAGAGGCCCAGTTGGCAATCCAGAGGTGGCCCTGTTGGCTCTGTAATATTCCCTCCTGCACTGCCCAGCGTGTGCACACAACCTCCCATTTCCACAAAGATGCCCTCAGCGAACTCCGCCCAGACACCCTGCATACGGTTGGGGTGTAGACACACTGCTTCCCCAGGGCAGGTTATCCAGCATCAGGTGCAACCATCCCAGCTACGGAAGTGGCCTCGATGGGCTGTTTTCCAAGCCCTCAATTCCAAGGTGGTGCCCATTTCTCCCCAAGTTCTGTCTGCATCCTGTCCATCTATCCTCGGACATATGGTCTCCATGATAAAGGTAGAATATCAAGGTTTAACAAGTTCCAAAGTGACACAATATCTACTCAAGCTTGATAAACACCATTATCAATTAACTGGAGGGAAAAAAGAGGGAAAGTAGAAATTATGATCACAACCATTTTCAAAGGGGAAATAATTCAATCTTCAGAACTTGAATTCCCACTTGAAGAACAAGAAGGGAACAGAGATGGAAGCTACAGTTCCTGACGCTGCATCTGGTCTCAGGACCAGCAAGGACCTAGGCTGGCCGTTGTTCATTGCCCAGAGAAGAGAACCAAGCTTATGTTCTAGAAGGGTCTAGTCTCTTGGAGGGCCTGCTTCTATGGAGTGGCTGCAGTGTCCCACTAGTTGGGGACACGTTGGTCCACGGCATGTCTCAGCGGCTCTAGGGTTTCCATTCCCAGCCTCGGTGTATAGTGGCAAACCTACCCCTTTGATGGTCACCTCAAACAAACCCACCCAGTTTCCCGCCTCTTTTTTTAATACAATGGTGGGCAAACAACGACCTGGACAAGATCTGGCCTGCCACCTGGTTTTGTAAATAAAGCTTCATTGAAACATATGTTTCTTTCGACTGCTGCTGCCTTCCCACTGCGACAGCAGAATCGAGCAGTTGCGGCAGACACCACACAGCCCTCAAAGTCTAAAATGTCTAGACCCTGTCTAGTACCTCAGGAGGCCTTCTGTGGCAGAAGCTTCCAGAATGGTGAATCTTTATCATCAAAATATTTTTTACAACTTTATTTAGGATGATCTTGCCTTCAGAGAAGAGGAAAGGAAAACCCATGTTAGTATGTTCATTAACTGCAAATCAGAAGAGTAAAGGTTTTTAAAAAGCAAACGTAACTTTGCATAGCCAGGAAAAAGGGCAGGACCTCAAGAATGGTTTAATTGCATGTTACTAAACTTTGCTTTTTAATCATTGTTAATAATATTACAAATAGTGTATCTAATAATAAGTAATTATAAATGCCTACTATGTGCATTCTAAGGACATCATATATGATAGTTGTTTTAATCTTCGTAACAATTCTATGAAGTAGTATTTTTACCATTTTCATCAAAGTAGAAGCTGAGGGACAAAGGGGTAACCACTGAGCAAAGGCCACAGAGCTGATAAATGGCAGAACGAAGATTTGTACTCAGGAGGTATAACTCCCGAATCCACTTTTAACCCAGATGCAAAGACTCTGCTTTCAAGGAGTGGATTTTAGGAATACACAAGCCAATGACAGGACAACTAGCTAGCCATAAGGAAAAAGAAAAATGGAAGTGGTTCCCTGGTCATTCCTTATGCCAAAATAATTTCCATCTGGAACAAAGCTTTAAATATTATTTAAATGTCCCCAAAATTGGATGCGTATCTTAATCCTGGGGTGTCAGACCCTTCTAAAGGGCACAAAAAAGTTTGTAAATGTGATGTAAATATTTGCAGCCTTTCTCACTCTCCCTGGAAGTTTGCAAGCTTCATTCTAACACTTGGTGTTAATCTGGGTGAAGAGGAGCCGGATGGATTTGTTAGAAAAGGCAGAGATGCGTAGCCACATGCTGGCAGCATGGGAGTGAGGCTGACTCTAGGGGGCAGTTTGAGTTGGGGAGGATTTGGGGGCATTTTGGAGAGTGAGACCAAAGATGAAGCCCAGTCACTGTGCTGAGTAGGACAGTGGGGACAGGATGGGCAGCTAGGGCCACATTTAAAGGTCATTCCTGTGTTTGGGAACTCAGCCCCACCCCAGATCCCAGCGAAGAAAGCTTCAGGGGAGCCTCCGTGAGAAGGGCCTTCCTCGAGCGCCTTAGGGCACAGAAGCGGCTTCCACCGCATTACGCGGCTCTTTGAACAGGAAGCACTGAATACTGACTGGTTTCCTTGTCTGCCTCTCCTCTCCTGAGAGGAGGGCCTTTATTCTGTTCTGGGCTCTTTTCTCAGTGTCTAGAACGGCGCTGAGCACCAGGAAGGCACAA